GAAATGCATATTTCCAGCCCACTTTACACTGCTTCAAAATTCACACCTTTTGTTTTTCTATTTATTTGAAAGCTACGTATTGTGTGTTATTTATTGAATTACATTAAATAGTTAAATACATACACTAACACCAAATAGAATTGCCATGAAAACTAACGCTTGTACAATTTTGTAAATAAATAATTATTATAATGCGTTTTTAAGTAAAAACAAAAATAAAAAAATCCGCGTAAAAGTCCTTAATTTTTTTTTGAGGCAAGAAGAATTAACTATTTGCCAAGCCTATGTGTCAAGTTAAAAAATTCCTTAATTCGTTGTTAAGCGTCAGATGTCACTAAAACAAATTGAAATAAAAAAGGTTTTACTATGCAAAGATAAAGATACAGACGATTAATGCTTGCAGTGGTAAATAAAACTTAAGTTTATAAGCCTTCGTGAAGATGGCGTTGAAACCAAAAAATATTTCAAAACCTTAATATTCATTTGTAAAATCTTTTTCATCTATTCTAATTCGAATTGCATATTAATAAATGCGAACGGTTTGTCACAATAACACTCTCATGGTTAAAATATATTTTTGTTATTTATGACATTATTCTTATACTTTTGTATAAAGTGCCCTCTACATAAAGTAACGTGTGCTTTGTACAAATGTATTAGAGAAAACATACACGTCTAATAAAACTTCACATAAACGTAAGTTAGTAGTTTTATGAACAGAGGGCGCTAAACGCAATAGCACTTAAAAAAACAGTACGTTTAAATAACGTTTGTTAAAAATCGGTATTTAATACAATTAAATTACTCCTTTTTGTTGTTACATATATTTTATACAATAAATTATAGACCTACATAACAACACTTACAATTAGTGAGCTATAAAATAGAAAGTTTTTAAATTTAGATACGTAATTCAGCTTGGAAATAAGAATAATATTAAATCATAGGTGGATATAATATTAATATTAGATATACCTGAACTTAAGTTTTCTCTTGTAAGTTTTGTCGTTGCAAAAAACGATCGTATTTCTTAAAAACCATATTATGAATGTTACTCCACAAAGAATGTCACCTTTAATTGGAGTCAATGTTCTTACATTAGTCTATTAGAGGTATATGCTTAAGCATTGCATACATTTTTACAAACATAATAGACTAAAAAATAACAAATAATAAAGACTAAAAGCATAATAAAACAAGGGTCACAGATATACAAATACTTGAATGGAACAAATCGGTGAATCAGCGCGAATTAAATATATTTCTATCGGTTTTATTGCTTATGTTTTATTAATTACATTTTATGGTCAGTTATTTTCGTAGGTGTCCGTAATCTTGTCAAACATAATGCAGTCAGTCCGTAAACAATAAAATTTTGTGGAAAATTTGTAAAACGTATGTTTGTATACTCAGAGTCGTCAACAATGGTTACTTACAAGATTTTTATATTACATTATACCTTTAAATACATTACGCGTAACAGTTAACATAATATATAAAACAGACATGTTAAATAAGGGTCAAGGTGTCTAATAATGATATTAAATACAGTATTTGAATACGATTACTTACTTTTTTATTATGAGATAGACGTTTAGTGCCAATTATTTGGGGATTGATAATTTTATTAGCGTATATGTGTTAGTTTTTCTCTTTTTACACACCCATTAGGTAACAAGTGAGTACGTCTCAATTTACTATCAATTATCATGTCGCACGAGTTTGCCAATTTCGCTGTTGCTACTTTATTATATCTATCTAGTTAACCAGTCTCCATCTACACTAATATTTTAAAGCTGAAGAGTTCAGGAACTACTTGTTCGAATCGAAAAATCCCTATTATGTTAGTTAGACCATTCATTGAGAAAGGATTTAGACTATAAAACAACTGGCTGCGACTAGTATGAATAGAATAATAGAGGGAAATGTGAAAAAAACAAAGGAAATTCGTCTTTGGGGGTTTTCGTTGCAGACGCTGCAAAAACGATAAAACATACCCAAAAAAAAATATGCGTGAAGAATTATTCTTCTTGAAATAATCTAAAAAAATGTCTACGATAGCATAAAGCCATCTTTTAAGATTAACTTACAAGAAGAGTTTTTAACTGTTAAAAATACCGGTTGTGGGTCTTGTGGTCTTGACAGATATTATTATTTTTTTGCTTCTGCAGTTCTAAGACAAGCAGTAGTAAGAAACTTATACAAACTATCAGTAAACGACTATTTAAATTATTAGTACGCATTGGTTGAATTGTGGATAAAACTGGGTGTCGCAGTAGTGGAATATAGATAACTTTTTATTTTTATGTAAATGAGTTATTTACATAGTATATTTTAAAAGTAGTATTTAGTCATTCGCTATGGTCATTCATGAATCGCGTAGGAGAATTGGTACTTTGTTAAATGTTAATCACCAATTCAAATCTCTCGTAGGTACCTCCGACGAAATTAAATAGCAAATCTAAAACTAAATGTATTATCAGATGATTGCATAAGTATTTGATATTAAGTACTTTCTATACTTTATGCGAGTAGTGCACATTAAATTAAACACCTGTAACGGTTTAAAACGTGAGATATATTAGTTAACAGTTGTGCTTCACCCGCGACTACGTCTGCTGCAAAGCATAGTCGAAACGTCGGGCCGTAATTAAATACCATTGTAAATATGTTAATTAATATATTGTTTTAATTAAATATGATTTAATGCTTTCGAAGTAGCAAGCACACCTAGTTGTAAATTATAGTATATTTTACCTTTTTATATGATTGAAAAAAGTCCGCAGCAGTATATCTATCTATTAAGATTAACTCGCAAGAACATCGGGATGCGCACGAGAAAAACTATTCTATGCGAACGAAGTCGCGGCCACAGCCAGTACATAAATATTTCAGATGTAAACTTTAATACGTAGATTAATTATTACGCAACCTACCTTTTCAAATTAACACGTGAACGAGGTGTTATTTGTGTTGTACACGTTTTCACGTTTTTGGTTAGCACTTTTAAAGTTGATATCTTTAGTATTCAAATTAGAATCCCAAAAAGGGCATTTCCGTGATAATAATCATAATTTTAACATGTCGAGGGCTAAAGAAATCGGAAGAGTTGCGTTAGTTAGGTTAGGTTAGGTTAGCCATATTCTCTATTAAAATGCCTTTTATACATGTTCTTCACTTTCTTTAATTGAACCAATATATTTTCCGTATTAATCCGATCCTTCACGTTTAATATTTTAAATCTAGGTTCTTAATAATAAATTATAGTTTAATAATGTCATCATTAACACATTATAAAATAACAATATCTTCCGGTATTTTGATAATTTATGTGTAGTGGAAAAAATATAACGACTACTATAAAATATTTGTTAAAAGCGTAGGGCGCGTATGTATATTTAGTTTTCATCTCTTACTTCCACGATGATCCATAACCAACGGAATATACAAGTTTTAATGTCGCCTTTTTTACTGTGATTTTTATTTATATATCTTTATATTGCAGTTGATTAGAAGAGATAGCTATAAAGCCTACGCTTGTCCATACAAACTCTATTTTTTTTTCGTTTTGTTTTATCTTCTGCCAATAATTATATGAAATTTGTTAAACTTTGTTATATTAAAATAGGACATTTAATTTTCGCATTTTCTATTCGCTATTAACCAAATTTACTACATTCAATTCACTATATGTAGGATATACAGATGTGGGAATCGAACCAAAGACCTCGTGTCCAAAGCTTTACAACGCAGATTACAGCGAATTAGATAACGACCTAGCATTTAAATGTACAGGTTTGCGATTGAAATGGGCACGCTACGCTGTAGGTAGTCAATTTGAGTCCCGGTGCGGTCGGTTTTTTTTGAATCTAAAGTACTTTTCCAATTAACACGATTACGGCACGTGTTAAATCGGAAGATATTTTAACACCTTCATCGATATTTGTACAATCGATTTACGTAATTGCGTCCTCAACCTGTCATTTTCGACGGGAGGTCAAGGACCCTCCTAGTCAAGGTAAAAAACGTTATTGATATTTGTTCAATATCAAGTTCTGTATTTGCCATATGAATATTAATTACAGTAATTAAATGGAGAATTATGGGCACCTCTTCGCCTCTTCAGTTCAGTTTACCTTGTATAGTCATTTTTGGTTGTTAATTTTTTACGTTACAGCGTTTAACTTAATAAAACATAATTTGGATATTTTTTTTAGTATTTAAGACATAAGTTATATAGAAGCTTACACAAACGTCAGTAAGAATTTAGTTATTACTTCTGTCGAGAAACATAGAATGTAATTTTGAATTTTACACTTCAATCTATATCAAACATAATATGTTCTTGGAAACGTGGTTGGACGTTCTTAGGTAAGCTCATCATGGCACACACAGAAGAAACTCGACAGAGATATCAGAAAAATAAATCTTTATTGAATAAAAAATAAATTAAAAGTTTAATATTTATTACAATAAAATAATATCCTCTAAATAAATCTAAATAACAACATATTTTAATTCTCATCTAATACTAGAAGGTCACACACGACAGCAAAGTAATTTTAGTATAAACTATCAGACCTTCGCACTACTCAAGGTTCAGAATTAAAATTTATAAAGACAAATCCTAAGCTCCTTGTAAAACCAAGGAATTAAGTTATCTACATAGTTCCGAAAGCGGGCAGCTTCGAATTAATCAGTCGAGTAACACAACTGTCACAAATAAATAGGGGCCATTCTTATATTACGTCACACATTGTGGAAGGAAGGGGGGAGGCTGCGAAATGATAGATAAAAGATTACGCACAGCTAAATAATGCATGAATATTCTAGATATAAAATTGATAAATATGTGACGTCACAAGATGGAAGGCGTGTCACAAATGTGACGCATGTGGAAGTATAGAGGATAGAGACGCAGTCTAGTAATCATAAAACTAGTGTGACGTAATAAATGGCTCCTTACAATACTGTTGAAAATTTTGTCTTAGCTCAGAACGTTATAGGTAAACAGTGCCGACGCGAAGTGCTTTTGGTTTAGCGAATAAATTCGAGGCAGTCTTGAAAATGCTGATCAGAGGCCTGAAGGTGGACGCCTCCGTCTTGTAGTAGGTCTGTGGCTGTTGGTAGTACTGATAGTCGTTGTTGTACTGGTTGTAGAAGTGGTAGTTGAAGGCTGGTGAATCACCGGTGCTGTCGGGGATGACATTCGAGATGAAGCCGTTGTTATTGTCCGCCACATAGTTGGATGTGCTTGTGAATGTGGCCGCTGGAACAATGACCACGTTTTGATTAGTCACATGGTAAACTGAATAAGAAGGTTTATATTAGTGTATGTTAAAATCGAAATTTATTAGTAAGCAAAACAAAGGTTGGGTAAGTAGAGATTGACGAAACACAATTTAGGTAGGACTCAATAAACGAAGGGTTTCCCCATTGTCTATATTCTATACTAATTATTAAAAAAGCTTAAGAGATTGTTTGAATGCGCTAATCTCAAGACCGTTTTGAATTGGAAAATTAATTTTGTTTTGTTGAACCAATTATCTCTCGGTTATAAGACAAAAGGTTGCGACCAAAATGAGCAAAGAAACAGAGGGCAATGTGGAAAAAAACGGTACTAATATAATATATTAAACAATAACACTTCTTTAAATAATCTAAAAGAAAGTTCCTGGAAGTATATGTCCATCTTTTTAGATTACCTCGCTATGACATTGTGGGTAAAATGTCATAATTCATAAAGTTGAAGAGGTTGTTTGCGAAACCGATTAATATAACGCCCAAAGTAACTATTCCAGACAAAGTCGCGGGCACAGTTAGTTAGTTATAAAACGAGGCAAGAAAATGCATCAATGATTTAAAATGTCAATCACCAAAAATACCTTATAGATAGTAATATAGAAGTTGCTCTTAAAGTACTTACAGCATAAACCAGAGTATTTTCTCGACTCGGACAGCCCAAACGCAGTGCACGATGGGTGTCCTTTTTCGTAAGGGCTTGAACCAATTACGTTACCACCGGGGCCGTAATTACAAACGTACAGTTTGGTGTAGCCCCGAGTTGGATCGTAGTAGAACGTGTAACCGCATCCGACGTGAGAAGTTTCGCCCCAAACCAACTGTTGACAAAATTGTACATACAATATTAACCCTTAACAGGTCAATGTTACAGGATTTTTTTAGAACTGACAGGAACTAGACAAGATTAAACATTTAAAATGGGAACATATACGAAAATGGAAAACAACAAAGTCGGTATTTTTATAAATACCAATTAAATTTAAATAAAACACTTTTAACGGGTAAAAGCGTGAAATGTGTAGTTTAACTGATCTAATTTACTACAGCCCGATGTCCTTCGTGATCATGGCTGTTTCAAAGCATCAAAAACGTCTGGCCGCAGTTACGATAAATTGTAAATATTGTTAACAAATACATTTCGCGTTTTAATCTGTAAAAAATGTTTTTCTTAAATATGTATTACTCGCGTAAATTAAAAACAGTATTTACAAATTAAATTATTAAATCAGCTGCATACTTAACATAATTCCAATATTAAACTATTTTTGTCTTGTCCTTCTACTGTTTTGTTTATTGAGACAATTTCTTTCTTCTTTGTGAAAATCAATTTACCTAAGAAAATATAGTTCAAATTACCTGAGAGTAATGACCAGTGCCGTGTCCTCCACTGATCGGCTTGAAGCCGTAGATCCTGACTTCGTCGAACCACGCGTTGATTTGTTTCATGAAATCTGGCTCGGAGTCAGAGGGGCCGGACGGCGGCCGTGTGGTCCATGTGGCTGCGAGATTCTGCCCCACGGGGAACCTGCCGACGTCACGCTGCGCCGCTCGATCGTGCGCGGGAGTGCATTGATCAGCCCAACGTTGCGCCGTCGCTGCTAACTCATCATCCCACACCTGCAATACCACTTTACAATTAGTTACTGCATCAACAAAATGCAATCGGAAATTTATGATCATGAGCGGTGAACTTTGGGGTCAGTCTTTGGCTCCGAGCTTTGCGATTTTATGGTCACTGGGTCAGTCATGTGTGAGTAAGTTATACATAATGTAATTTAACTCCTTTCTTTTACAGTTACAAGAGGGACAAAAGGGTTACGAAGGCGTTGTAAGGCGAAGTGTCTTATAGCATGTTCTGTTAAAATGTTTCAAATACCTCGTAGTGGCGTGCCTTTATTATCATGTTTGAAACGAGTGTATTATCACTTCAATTTAAATATTTAATGCGAAAAGTCACATGTTCTCCACGTGACTTAGATGAAATATTTGATAAGATCATCTTGTAAGCTTGTTAGCTTAGCATTTTTATTATTTTATACCAATTTGTTGAATTAAACTTCAACCATTTTGAAATAGCACAATATGTTTTCGTAAATATTTACCCCTTTTAATAGGAATAAAATAAACTTACAATATTATCTAGTATCAAGAAACCAAAGTAGGTATAAAGCGATGAATCAGTAAGCGGTTCTTCCTGCTTATGACATTTTGGTCGGTAAAAAGGCAATTACATGCGTTAATAGTATTGTGTGGCCATCGAGCCATAAAAGGAGCCATTTAAAATTACACTTGATTGCCGCCGTAATGAGGTTGAAAGATGAAATAAAATAGGATAGCATACGAACCATTTCCATCATATTGGCAGCTGGTGGTTGACTCGACACTTGCCCTAGAGCTACTGACTGTCTGAGACGATTGTGTGCGTCGACGATCGCTTGCTTCTCATACGCCGTCAGTCCTCCAGTTCCTAGCAAACCAGGGCTTTATTAGTTAAATCCTTTTTGACGTGATATCTATTGGCTTATATCGTTAAATTTACTATTCTATATCATTTCATAATCCTACGGATTATTCGACCAGTGTGTAATACACAGGTGTCGGTGTCCATAAAATTTTACGATCTCGATCCAAGCAAGTATGCAAATAGAGGCGTCACTTTAGGTAAAATTCGTTCGCGGAATCTAGACTGGGTGGCGACGATAAAATTTATTACACCCTCGACTGTGAATTGTCCTTTCGATATCTTTATGTCATGTTTGATATCGTGTTGTTAAATAGCTCTTCATTTCAATAATCCATTTATTACATTAATTACTTCGATATTTTATCCGAAACTTTAAATTAAGACATTAATCGCGACGAGTATGTAAAAAGTAAGTGGCAAAAACTTTGTAATTATTTTTTATGGCTGTAGCCAATTTATTTTGTTTTAATTACAATTATAATATTAAGGAAAAAAAAACGAAACAAAATGAATGTTACGACTAAAAATGCTCAGCTAAAAAGTTAATCATTTTAATGTATTTCCTTAATGTAGGATTTTTATTTAATTCTTTAAGGCCTAATTTATAAATGGGATAAGAAACTACTCACTTAGCATCTGTTTACCAGCTCCACACGCCTCTGTTGCTGCCAGGAGGCTCCCCACAACAAACAACACTAGGGTAATCATGTTTCAAAAATTGTCTATTCACAACACTCAACTGAAAACTCACTGATTGAGATTCGTAACAAAAGTGGTTCACTTATATTTACGAAACGTCAAACTAGATAATAATTCGCCGGTGATCCGCTGCACAGCGTGCCGCGCGCTCTCCGGGTTTAGGTAATCTGTGCGTGTGTCTATGTCGCGCGCGCTTATGTAGTCGCCGCGGTTACCATGGAGACGCCGAGACGCCGCTCCGCCGAACTCCACTCACAGCATCAATACATCGCCGCTCCGCTACTGCTATTAAAACGTATACGTTGCATCTACATTAACATTTGCGCATCCCTTAACTGATTTCCTTTTCCCTTAACTGGTTTTTGCGTCAAAACAGGTACAGTAGCTTCGAGTACCGATCGTGCAGTGTCTTCAGCTATGCGAAGAAAGGTTAAACGGACGTCGACTGACCGCTTTTTGTCTGCAGTAATAATTTAAAATTCATTATACAGAACCTGCTCGTTGTCAATGAAAGCGAGTTCTTGTGATGTCTCCGAGCCAAAGGTGGAAATATGTTGACAGATATTGGCCGGAACGGAAGTGGTCTTTAGGCAAAATTATAGGCACCTAAAAACAAGGAAAGAATAATGCACACTCAACCGTATTGTGTCAAAGGCTACTTCGCTTTAAGAATTGTAGACAATGTTCATAACTTCGAAGAATGATTACTAAAATATAAATAAATTGAAAATAGATCATTATTTGGCTATTATATACAAGGCAGTCTTTCAAGACACAATCGCGTATAATTCCACAATACTAAAGCTACTTTATCCCATATAAATTATCTAAGATTGTGCAAATGAATGGCATCTTTATAAAAGTATCGGATTTCAGATAAGTGCAGATGACGGTGATATGATAATAAGAAGTCATTGGAAAATACAATACCTAACAAACTCAACGTTTCTACACAGTTTTATATGTTTAAAAGTTTATATATCATCTATCATTACTTTAAATTCAAATCGCAATCAAAAATTGTGACAGACAGACAAATTAGACAAAACACATATACAAAGAGACAGAAAACAAACCCCTGTTTTCGGTGTACAGGACTAAGATGTGAACTGGACAGAACAGGAAAACAAAAAGGACAATCATATATTCTGAAAAATGAATCAAGATTATAGGAACTTATTGTAAATGTAACATTTTTTTGTAACCTTTATATATTTTAAGCGCGCACCTGTTAGAGTCAAACGAAATAGACCATTTTTGGTGTAAGTGTTTATCTTATTTCATAAACTATCAACTGAAACCTAAAGATCAATTCATACAGAATAAATACCAAAAATTCAAAATCAATGAGTCGAGACTAAGTTTTAAGATAAAAGGATCTCAATTACGTGACTGTATCGACACAGAGACATGTTGTCTGTAGCCAACCGATCCGGTTTACCACCTGATGTGAGTTTTTACTTGTATTTCAATAATTTGCATATTAATATTATCCACGGAATAGGTTAAAAAAAATCAGAAACCATTTCAATTTCGTTCATCGTTGCAGCTTTATTTGAATTTTGAAAGCTCTACGAACTTATCCTTTGATTCTATGTTCCTGTATCAATTTCGGATATGTTGTCATGAGCTGGAGGTTCAAAAACAAAGGAAAAACAATAGATTTTGGTAGGGCAGGACGCAGAGACTTAATTGCTTGTAAAAAATCGACCTATAGAAAAGAGTGAATATATCTTCTCCTTAAGTGGTAGGAGATGAGCGGTTTTTCTAGCCTGCAATATATTGTACGTTTAATAAATATGTTTTATAATAACAATAAATAACATAAACATCCATTACTTGAAACTTTGCGTAGATAAGCAAGTATTTGCGCAAGCAATAAGTTCTTACTGGCAACAGCGTAATCTTTGTAAATCATGATTTTATAGACTCCAAGTAATATGTACAATACGTGAGTTACATTAGCCATATAAATATGTGCTCATCACCCCGAGGCCACTGGTTGTTCTTCGTCTAAAGATTAACATAACGTACCGAATTATAATTTTAAAGACGCGCTTAATTACATTCACCGAGTTCCTCAAATATTTGACTTGGCTGAGTTTGACTTGCTTATCTGGAAAGTCCATAAAGTTGACCTTTATATTAACGATCCTCTTATGTCTTTAAATGACCCATTATTTACTTATACATATTAGCTTATATCCGTATAGCATAATATAATAGAGTTTGAACTTAACCCGTTTGTAGTCTAAACTTTGAGAATAAAACTTTACAGATAGTAGTAATTTTGATGAATCTTTCAAGTATTTTTATTTAAGCTTAATGATAACAGGACTATAGCGTATAAACAACTTATCGATAAAAAATAACATAAAGAAAGCACTGCAATAAAAATTTTGAAAGTGTTAAATTAAACGAATAATTCTAGATACGAGAACAATTAAAATATCCCACGATGTCAAAATAAATATTTCAATTAAAAACGAACATGACTTGAAACTATCAGGTATTGAATGTAAAATTAACATTGGAACCTCGATCGGCAGACAAAGCGTCGCGTCGAATGCATCCTCGATATTGTAATACATAGATTTGTGTACTCCTTTGTGTTCACACTCGATTGTCGATAATTTTCAATGTCAGGACAGGGTGGCGATTCTCAGAAATGTGATATAAGATTTCAAGCCATCGTTTATCTAATTTCATACACTTATTTTCTTACGTTTAATATTTAAGTTACCGTGTAGTTTAATTTAAACAACGAATTCGGCGTTGATTGGTGTAGCTTGTTCAATAGGTTTTACTTAAATAAGGACTATTTCAAAAAAAGAACATTAGTTTTAAGTTAACATTTACACAGTTTAATAATAAATAGAGGTTTTTTTAACATTATAATTATAATATCAAAATACATAGAATCCCAAATAGACGTTACCTCGTTAGTAGACACTGTATCCCTTTTTGAGAATAGCCCTCCAGGTAGACTTGTATGAATTCAAGACATATTGATGGATGGACTCGATGAATGATTTCATTCTTTATGAGATTTTTGCAAAATAATTGAAGGTCTCGGAGTAATTTCCAATGAGAGTAGATTGGTTTATTCAATTTATTTGATAATATTTTTTCCATATGTTTTTACTTCCAGTGAAATAAAGTCATTCGATTATATGAAATGTAGGCGAGAGAAATATCTTCTTTCAAAAACTTTAATAATAGTTTATTTTTTATTGATTTGCGTGATTATTAATATTAAAAATATTTTTCTGGAATGTTAATAAACTGAAAATAAAATGTAGTCATGGCGACGCATCTGGTGGGGACACTTTGCAACACTAAACGAGGATGTGTTTCAAATACTTATGTGTGTTACTACGAGACATCTTATCTTAACTTGAATTAAATATACAAATGTTGTGGCAACAAAAACCAAGTGGCGCCCTATTTATAATAGGTATCAATTGCAAAATAAAAATTTAATTTATTTTTTGCACACAATATTTCATATTTTAACATAAGATCTTATTTCATATTTTAAGATAAGATATTATTTCATATTTTTATTTTATTTGTTTTTTACTAAGCGAAATATATTTTCCTTTTGGCATGCACCTCTTCGCGTCTATTTTTCACGGTCAAGTCACAAGCAGAGATTGAAGTAGTAGGTAATATTTGTATTCACAGTCCCGTATTGACTCAAGCAAAACACACTGGTACATCCTGCTAACATCAAATATCAATATCGTAAAGATTTCTTTGATCGTCAGCTTTCGTGTTTGCATTTTTTTCAACCGCCAAAATGTCACTGGTTCTGTCGTACGAACTTTTGACCCTAGATTTCTAGAATTTGACATTGAATTGATAATTTGTTTGTGAAACGAACTACTTTCCTTCTTGGAATGTATTGTTGTTGTGTTAGTTATGTCAATAATTCGGGTTCTACTCAATTGCAAAAGAAGAGGTTTCACTAATATTGACATAAACTTAAGTTTGTTTAAATAAACATTTTCTGTATGTACCTACCTCAGTTACGCTTGAAGGTTTTAATGCGTAGAGATTTTGGAAATTAAATATTTTGAGGTCTTGAAATCTTTAAGAATTAGTAACACACCTCCGGCTACTGAAAAGGTGGTAGTAATTATTATTGTAAGATGGAAAATAATTTTCATTAAATACTGTCTATAGTTTACGCGGGTAGTACACATTTAAATAAAACATTAACGGGTTTACTTTGACGTCAGAGACATCCTCTATCTTTAGTCTCCCCGTGATCACGGCTGCTGCAAAGCATCCGTAACGTAAGGCCGAAGTTAAAAATCATTTTCAAATGAGTTTAACTAATATATCGCGATTTAAAACTTTAAAATGTTTTATTTAAATAATTATCTTTAAAAAAATAATTTAATCACATTACTTGTTATAGTATCAGTAATTAAATATACAATTAAATAATATTGAGCTCCTTGAAATGGCACGCAAAGGTTTTCTTAGAATCGATTTTATCTGCAATCGTGTGCTAAAGTGTTAAGCACACGCGGAAGGCATTTTCTCGTAAAGGCATGTAGGTCATAATAATAACGACTCATCCCAACAATTATTTGAACAGATGAAATACCGCTAAGTTTAATCAGCACAATATAAGGTATCAACCGCCGTTTACGAGTTTAATACATGAAGTAAAACTCTTTGAACGGTTTGATAGGGATCTTTAAAATAAAGTTTACTAATTTAAAAACTTTATTATTATAAACAAATCAATGATACGGGCGGGACCTGACCCGGCATCTAAGGCGATCCGCGCTGCCGCTCTAACTAATTAAGCTATCGCGAAAACGCGAAAAATATAAGTTTACTTATTTACAATTTTATCACAGAACTAAACCACTTTACGTATGCAACAAAAACGCTTTTAAGACAAACATTAGTATATGGTAATTTATTGTGAATCATACAATTGAAAGAGTGACAGATTTGTCATTTAGCAAATATACAAATGAGTTATAAAT